GTGAGGTGATATCTCCTTGTGGTTTTAATTTGCATTTCCCCAATGATTAGTGATGTGGAGCATCTTTTTATGTTCCTGTTGGCCATCTGAATTTCTTCTTTGGGGTAGTGTCTGTTCATTTCCACCATCATTTTTTTAATCAGGTTATTGGCTTTTTGGGTGTTGAGGAGTGTGAGTTCTTTCTATATTTTGGATGTTAACCCCTTATTGAATATGTCATTTATGAATATATTCTCCTATACTGTAGGATGCCTTTTTGTTCTACTGATGGTGTGTTCTTTGCAGTACAGAAGATTTTTAGTTGAATGTAGTCCCGTTTGTTCATTTTTGCTTTTGTTTCCCTTGCCCGAGGAGATGTGTTCAGGAAAAAAATTACTCATATTTATATTCAAGAGATTTTTGCCTATGTTGTCTTCTAAGAGTTTTATGGTTTCATGACTTATATTCTGGTCTTTGATCCATTTCAAGTTTACTTTTGTGTATGGGGTTAGACGGTAATCCAGTTTCATTCTCTTACATGTAGCTGTCCAGTTTTGCCAATACCGCTTGCTGAGTGACTATCATTTCCCCACTATATATACATGGCTCCTTTATCATATATTAATTGGCCATATATGTGCATGTTTCTATCAGGGATCTCTATTCTGTTCCATTAGTCTATTGGTCTGTTCTTCTGCCAGTACCAAATGCTTTTGATTATTGTGGCTTAGTAGAGCCTGAAGTTGGGGAGTATAATCCCTTCAGCTTTATTCTTCCTTCTCAGGATTGCTTAGGCTATTTGGGGTCTTTTGTGGTTCCATATGAATTTAGAACAATTTGTTCTAGTTCATTGAAGAATGCTGTCAGTATTTTGATAGGGATTGCATTGAATCTGTATATTGTTTTAGGCAGGATGGCCATTTTGACAATATTAATTCTTCCTATCCATGAGCATGGGATGTATTTCCATTGTTGGTGTCTTCTTTAATTTCTCTCATGAGTGTCTTGTAGTTTTCAGGGTACAGGTCTATCACCTCCTTGGTTAGTTTTATTCCTAGCTATTTTATTCTTTTTGATGCAATTGTATATGGAATTGTTTTCCAGATTTCTCTTTCTGTTTTTCAGTGTTACTATACAGGAATGCCACAGATTTCTGTGTATTAATTTTGTATCCTGTAACTTTGCTGAATTCAGTTTTTAGTTCTAGTAGTGTTGGGGTAGATTCTTTAGGTTTTTATGTACAACATCATGTTAATTGCAAACAGTGACAATTTAACTTCTTCCTTACTGACCTGGATGCCTTTTATTTCTTTGTGCTGTCTGACTGCCATGGCTTGCACTTCCAGAACTATGTTGAATAAAAGTGGGGAGAGTAGGTATCTTTGTCTTGTTCCCAATCAAAAGCTTTCAGCTTTTTGCTGTTAAGTATGATGTTGGCTGTGGGTTTGTCATGTATGGCCTTTATTATATTGAGATACTTGCCCACTATACCCATTTTGTTGAGAGTTTTTAATCATTAATGGATGTTGAATTTTGTCAAATGCTTTTTCAGCATCTATGAGATAATCAGGTGATTTTTGTCCTTTTTGTTGATGTGGTGTATGATGTTGATGGATTTTTGAATACTGTATCATCCTTGTATCCCTGGAATAAATCCTATTTGATCATGATGGATGATCTTTTTGATATATTTTTGAATTTGGTTTGCTAATATTTTGTTGAGTATTTTTGCATCTGTGTTCATCAGGGATATTGGTTTGTAATTTTTTCTTTTTGTGGTGTCTTTGCCTGGTTTTGGTATTAGAGTGATGCTGGCCACATAGAATGAGTTTAGAAACATTCCCTCCTCTTCTACTTTTTGGAAAACTTTAAGGAAGATTGGTATTAGGTCTTTTCTAAATGTTTGATAAAATTTGGTAGTGAAGCCATTTGGTCTAGGAGTTTTGTTGTTTTTTGATTACCGATTCAATTTTATTGCTTGTAATTGATCTGTTCAGATTTTCTGTTTCTTCCTGAGTCAGTCTTCGAAGGTTGTATTTTTCTGAAGAGTTGTCCATTTCTTCTAGGTTATCCAATTTGTTAGCATATAATTTTTCATAGTATTCTCTAATAATTCTTTGTATTTCTGTGGTGTCCATTGTATGTTTCATTTCAGATACTGTATTTTTCAAAGTTTCTATCTCTTGAATTTTTACCTGAGGTTCTTGAATATTTTTCTGTAGCTCCATGAACATGTTTATGATTTTTATTTTGAAATCTTTATCAATCAGGAAGATTGGTGATTTCAGTTTCACTTAGCCCTCTTTCTGGAATTTGATAGATTTTGTTTTGTACCAGGTTCTTTTGCAATTTCATATTTCTAATGATTACTATGGAATAATAACTTTGTGTTGGCAGTGCCCTCTAGTGCCAGAAGCTCCACTCTCTGGAGCTGCCCAGTACCTGGAGCAATAGCAGAGGTTGCAAGTGCATGGTGCCAGTGCCTGTCAGGAAGAAAGAGCTCTTTCCTTCTTCCCGGCTGCAGTACCTGCCTCCACTGCCAGGGCCAGTGGGCCAAGTGTGCAGAGAGGAGCCTCTATGCTATGACCTTGTAGCTGCCATAGGCAAGGCTGCCCTCTGGTTCACCTGGCACAATGGGGGGCAGCAGGTTTGCGAACCAGTTCAGCAGAAGGAGCAGCAGGCTGATATTGCAGTGTTGGTCATCGGCACTGTATTGCCAGCCAGGGGGATGGAGTATGTGAAGCTTCTGAAAGTTTCCAACCTGCTGGGCTCAGTGTGCCAGGAGGATTTTTCCCAGCTGTTCCTTCTCCTGAGCAGCAATCTCTGTGTAATCCTTGCCCCTTTATCAGCCCTCTCAGTATTGGGAAGTCTTTCAAAGTGCCTGCCTTTCTTTTTTCCCGAAGAGGCCAGTAGTGAGTACCTATTCTCCACAAGCAGCTGGATCTCGGTCTCTCCAAGTGTTCCACCTGTCTTTGCTTTCGAACCCCTTTAATCTCCAGAGAACCATGTAATGTGGGTTTGTGCTTCCACAGTGGATCTCCAGGGATGGGTTTTTAGTAGTCCTGGGCTTCTACTCCCTCCCCATTCCATTTCTCTTCCTCCCTTCAGTGAGCTGGGGTTGGGGGAGGGCTTGGGCCCTGCCAGATCATGGCTTTGCTACTTTACCCTTTTCCAAGAGGTCTTCTCCTTTCCCCAGATGTAAGCCATCTGTTGCAGTCTTCTTTCTGGTTGCTCTTTCAGGTTTAGTTGCATTTGCTGTATTTTCATGTTATATGTGGTTTGGGGAGGAGGTTTCTGCCTCACTTATCATGCTGCTATCTTGTTTAATCCCCCATTCCATTGGCCAAATGAAAACCATTTTAAAGTAAAAACTAGAAGATACCCTACATGAGGAAGGTCACTATGGAAGAAGTAGTTAGGTTGAGGGATGAGGTGTGCTTGATAATTTTTCTATGCCTTGCAAATTCATTGAAAATTATTTACTTTTGTGTCAGTTTTCACCATTAGATTGTGGACTTCTTAAGGAGAGGGACCATATATTTCTCATGTCATATATTCATTTACTAAAAATAGATTTGGATAATAATAAACTTTTTGTTCCTTAATTGTCAGTTAGTACCCACTGCCCACTAAAAATTAGCAAAGTAATCACACAGTTAATGGATGCTATTCCTGTCCTTTCAAAAGGAGGAATTACACTGATTTTTAGTAATGTATCTATTGCATAAAGTGAGGCCCTCCATTTAAGGTTGCCTCCATTTAAGATTGACTGAGTCATTTTCTGTTTCCAAGTTTCAACTGATTTTAAGGACAGCACTCTTTTTCTGGTTTGGAGTATGCTTTGCTTGCTAATAAAGTTCTACCTACAGGAGACAATGATGAGGTTTATTTGAATTACAAAGCACATAATTCATAAAACCCATGGTGCCTTAATAATGCAAGAATATCTTGTCAAACTTCTGGGAGGAAATGCTATATCTCAGCTTAACAATAAAGATGCAGGAAATGTAACTTGTCTCTGGTTTTTCTCTACATAGTAACTTCCCAGAGAGAGAAAGCAAAAGTCCTAGAAGATGAAGACTCAGAAGTCAGCTACCCAGACAAACCACAGAGATGATGAATGAGCTGTCAAGGAGATGAATAAACAGTAACTCTGTCATCACACTCAATATTTTATTTTGATCAAATAAGTATCACTATAGAAATACTTCATTTGAGAATCACTGAGGTGGAGACAATCTAGAGAGATTATTAATAAGAGAAGCTAATGTGCATTCAATGTATTACCTAGGGGACTATCAATTTATATGGATTGCAATATATAGTCTTCACAACAACCTTACGAAATAGTTAAACTGGTGCCATTGTTATAGATTGGGTCACTGATGTAAAGAGAGAAGTAACTTGCTCAGAGTCTCATAAAGATCAAATACCAGAACAAGGATTTGAATGAAGACAGTATAGTTCCAAACCTGTGCTCTATAATGCAGTTAATTCCTTTACCATACAGATGAAGACGACAATGTAACAAAGCTACAATTTGCTGAATTCTTAATGCAAGTCTCTATAAATAGCATATATTTGTTATATTTTTATTTCTAAAATAACACTAAAAATCTAATCCTAAATATGTGGGAGTGGAGTAATTATGAAAAAGTAAGTCAGTTAAACCCAAAGATTCTAAGAAATGTTCAAAACTCATGTTACTATGTACTCTGGAAAATTCAAGTAAGATCTGGAGCCTAAATGTGGGTTTGTCCCCCATATTATCTCCCCCACCCCATGACGAGGCAGTAAGCTATTTTTTCCTGGCTCCTTTAAGAGGCCAGAATTAAATTCTTTAGAGAAATGAAACCCAGAGAGGTCTTAAAAACAGAGTCATTGTGTCTGGCATAAGTTAAGGGTGAGACACAGAAAATGTGGATTACATGGAAGCCTGAGTAATGAATGAATCAAACCCAACCACCACTCTTTATCCCCACACAGCAGCAGAATGGAAAGTACAAGATGGTTTCACTCACATGCGTGGATCTTCCTCAGGTTGGCTTGAAGACTGAATTTAGCTGAATGCTTCTCTCTCTCCATGCAGTCGCCAGATCTCTCCATGTGGTCAATCTCATAGGGTGCATTCAAGGATCCAAAAGACTAAGGCAGATGCTTTTTGCCCTCTCAAATGCTAGGCAGAAGTCAAAAGCATCATTTCCCCACGCTCCATCAGTCCAAGCAGCCACAGGTCAGCTCTGATTCAGGAGGAGAAAAACAGAGCCCATCTCCCAAATGGAGGAGTATTACAAAATCTGTGGCCATTCTTAATCATCTATAGTCCATTCTCTGACCACAAATCATTTACATTCCTCCTAAATCCAAAATATGCTCTCTGCCTTCCAAGACTTCCTAAGCATCACATTAAAGCATCAGCTCAAAGTCTAAGAGGTTACATATAAACTATTACCAGGAATGGTGAGGCTCTTCAGGTGTGGCTCCTTAGGTACAGTTTATCTCAATCTAAAGACCTAGGAACTAAACACAAAGTTATATGGGCCCTGCACACCCAGTATGCAATGCTGGAACAAGACAGGAGAATCATCATAGACACTCCTGTTTAAAAAGAGACAAACTAAGAGGCACGTTGCAGTCACTAATCTAGAGAAATTTTGAAATCTAAGCAGACGTTTGTTTCCAGGGCTCATATTCCACCCCAGTCCTGCTTCTTGAGACAATTCTCATGACTCTTGAGTCTACCCTATAGGCTTTTGGTTCCTTCATGAATCATCTTTCTTTCTCCAGAAGAAATGACCTAAGTAGCTTATATTCCAGTCTGATTCTTGCAGAGAGGTTAGAGGTTCTCATGTTTCTTCTATGTCTCTTTTCACATACAGTAGGTGATATATAAAGAATTTAAATTATTTTTCAAGCTTCCTGGGTTTCCTTTGAGTATTATAGAGATTCACTATATTAGACAATTTCACACCCATATAACTTCCTGACAAAGGTTCTTCTATATTATTATTTGGTTGTGAGGTTGCTGTGGGACATGTCTCAAATTCTTCAGAGCCCTCCTTCCTGGCAAAGAGAGACCACAAGTAATTCAAGAGGATCAAGGCAAAACTACCAGTCCTCCTAAAGGCTCGATCCAGAGCTGACAGAGGTAGCATCGCTTCTTCTGCATTCCAAAGACCATAATCACAGTCTTAAAGGAAAGGGTGTTACAGAATTTGCAGAATCTGAAATCCCACAACTGTTTAAAAGAATGTAAGGAGAGAAGAAAGATATGAAAGTAAGAGAGCTAAGTATTCAACTACCATGATACACAGTTGATAGACAACATTTACATTTAACCAGTGAAGAAAGAGAAATATAGGGATATCACAAATACCAGAAATGACAGCTTTAATAATTGAAAGCAGGTGCCTCTAGGGAGAGTATCTTGGGTCAGGAGTATTTGTGGGATGGACAAAGCTCATGCTACATTTCACTCATAGCCTTTTAAAAATATCTAATTATGTTCACTGTGCACATGAATTGCTTGACAAAAATAAAAGTTAATCTCCAAAATAGTTTCTCTCCATTTTTTTCAACTATAGTGAAAATTATACCTCACCAGTCTAAAATGCAATTTAATGAATTTGGCAACTTGTTATTATTCTGCATTAAGTTACAAAAAAATTGACCAGAAATCCTCTCTATCTCTCCCTCAGGATAAGCACAGTAAGTTTTAAGAAAAAATGGAGAGGCCAATACCATCATTTATGGAAGAAAAATAACTGAGGTCATAAATGTACATATTCCTCCATTTAACCAGCATTTTTCACATTTTTCTCTTAAAATGCATCTCAATTTTATAATTGAATTCCAAAATAACACCCTTGATAATATTTGTGTGGTGCTGTGCCTTTGATAAATGACTTTCCTAGGCAAATATATACTTTTTTTAATCCTCACAACATCTGTGTGACTTTCATTGAATAGGCATTATTATTATCTTCTTTTCCAAAAAAAGAAAGCATTATTATTATCTTCTTTTTCCAAAAAAAGAAAGTAAAATTCAGATGAACCAAATACCTCATCCAAGGTCATATGGTTATTAGTGTCAGAGCTGGTTTTCCTGTCCTAAACCCTGTGCTCTTTCTTCCCACTTTGGTATTGATCTGCCTGACCTTAACAGACCACGTGCAGAGGTGGGATGAGACAGCACCACGAAATTCCTGCGGACCTGGAGTGGACCACCACATCACAACAACGAGTGCGGTGGTCCTGACGTATGAGGCCGTGGTTGTGATTGTAGTTGTAGTAATTACTATTTCTATAGCAGGAAGAGAACAGTGTCTTTCTTGCTGGACACAATGACAGAAAAGAATTCCAGTACAGTAATGTTTCAATGAGAGTGTTGAAAGTCTACCTCTATGAGCAAAGAATATTATCCCAAACACTTCCTTCGAAACAGTGCCAAAGCATATGTGATTTAAACTTGGCCACATTTCAAACTTCCAAGAATTCAAATCCTGGGTTACAGGAACTCTGACATGATTTTTAATAGAAATGAAAATCTGGGACCTGGGTGAGACACATTTCACGGCTCAGAGGACTGAGACTCCTCTTGAATGGAGTGGTGTAAAAACTCCACACCTGCTCTCTGAACAGATTCAGCCCACAGGCTGTAGCTTTGGCTTTGAGGAACAGGGTTGCTGCCTTGTAAAGCTGATGAGCCCATAGGAAATGTAGACTGCAAGCTCGGCCATGAGTGAGGTAACATTCTCATTTGGGGGTTGATTAAGTGGCATTTTCCAAAGTGTGGTGCCTGTAGCACTGCTAGCCCACAAGCCACTCACACTCAGGACAGTGTTGAAATGTTAAATTGTGATAGTTATTTGGTTATTTTAATATGGCCTAGAATTAAAAACACAGCATCTTAGCTGCTTTGATATTTCATGTGTCATTGCTTGGGGAGGAGACTAGAATAGGCATTTGAACTGTCAAAATTATTTCCCTATAATTTGGTTGTGAGATTGCTGTGGGACAACATGTCTAAAATTCTTCAGAGCCCTCTTTCCTCACAAAGAGAAACTTTGTTAAAGGGAAAAAAACAACTAAATAAGAATACAACAAAATAATTAAAAAACAACTAAATAATAATACAAGGAGCCCACAGAAAGGAAAAAATTCTTAAAGGTGAGGAAGAAAATGGGAATGCTAGAAGACTCGTTTCTGCTTGAAAATGATTTTTTTCTTAAAAGATGAGAAAATCAGGAGCAAAACAAGGAAATATTTTGTACATGAATAAAAGCAGCTACAGTTTACAACAACATTGCAAGGAACTATTATTTTCCTTATTTAATAAATAAACAACAGTTCATAAAGATTGAATAATTTGCCAAGAACCAAACAACTAACATGCAGCCATACCAGCATTCAAAGAAGATTCCTGATAACTGAAGCCCATGGTATCTGCAGGCTGTGGTAAGATAGCGGATAAGAGCTGGGCAGTCCGGACTGGATTTGACATCGTGGATCCATTATTTTCCAGTTGTGAGACTTTGAGCATGTTGTTAAACCTCTGTCTTGCTTCCCACATCTGTAAAACAGGGTTAATAATAATAATAACAGTAATAATAATAATGAAATGAGAAGGTGTTGGTCAAATGGCAGAAAGTTTCAGTTATGTAGAGTGAATAAGTTCTAAAGCATGGTGACTATACTTATAATGCTGCATAATATAGTTGAAATTTGCCAAGAGTACATCTTTAGCATTGTCACCACATGTTACAAAATGGTAACTATGTGCAGCAATGGATACGCAATTAGTTTGATCATGGCAATCTTTTCATAATGTATATGTATATCTAAACATCACATTGTAAACCTTAAAAAAAAATCCAGCATCTTGGGACTTTCCCAGTATGAAAAAGCTGTTTTAACCTGTATTGGCTGCCAATTTTAAAGACTTTCTTTTTCCATGGTTTTGGCCTTTCAGAATCAATTACAATGATCCTCTATGAGCTATAATATCTTACAGTTAAGGAACAACCACTAAGCAGCAGTCATCTGAGAGCTGAGCACCTTTTATTCCTCTCTTTTGTTGTCAAGAACTTTTCTCAGGTGCTTCATTATATGTGAGCATCCAGTGATATTTTCAATGGGGATATGATAGAATTGAAACTGAAATGCAGGTATAGGAAAAGAGCAGACAGGAGGGGACTTGGGGGGATTATCACTTATGTGCCTGGCATTGTTTTGAATCCTTGTATGGATATTCAATAGGTGATATGATTTAGTCTTTACATTAACTTCATTTCGGTTTATGTCTGTCTGTATCTATCTCCCTATCAAGACATTAGACTCTCTTGTCTAAACTCAAGCACAGAGTGAGACCTGGGATGAGGATTAGCTCACACTAATGTTGGTTCTTACTAGGTATGACCAGTTGGGTAATTTTATTCTTGTTTTCCCTTTGTACAGTTTCTTTTTGTATGACTATTTTTATAAAAATATATTATTTTCAAGATAGAGAAAAAGGGATAGAAAGTGTCTTTGAGGAGGTGATTGCAGAAAACTTCCCCAGTCTGGGGAAGGAGGTAGTCTCTCAGGCCATGGAGATGCACAGATCTCCCAACACAAGGGACCTAAGGAAGACAACACCAAGATATATAGTACTTAAAATGGCAAAGATCAAGGATAAGGAAAGACTATTAAAATCAGCCAGAGAGAGAAATAAGATCACATACAAAGGAAAGCCTGTCAGGCTATTATCAGACTACTCAGCAGAAACCTTACAGGCCAGAAGGGAGTGGCATGATGTATTTAATGCAATGAAACAGAAGGGCCTGGAACCAAGATTACTTTATCTGGCAAGATTATCATTTAAATTTGAAGGAGGGATTAAACAATTTCCAGATAAGCAAAAGTTGAGAGAATTTACCTCCCACAAACCATGTCTACAGTGTATTTTGGAGGGACTGCTATAGATGGAAGTGTTCTTAGGTTTAATAGCTGTCAACAGTAGTAATAAAACCACAGCAAAGAAAGTAGAACAGCTAATTACTAAGTAAATGCAAAATTAAATTAACTATCCCCAAAGTCAGTCAAAGGACAGATGAAGAGTACAGAATATGATACCTAATGTATAAAGAATGGAGGAGGAAGAAAAAGGAGGAGGAAAAGAAAAGAACCTTTAGATTGTGTTTGTAACAGCATATTAAGTGAGTTAAGTTAGACTCTTAGATAGTAATGAAATTAACTTTGAACCTTTGGTAACCACGAATCTAAAGCCTGCAATGGCAATAAGTACATACCTAACGATAATCACCCTAAATGTAAATGGACTGACTGCACCAATAAAAATATATAGAGTCACTTAATGGATAAAAAAACAAGACACATCTATATGCTGCTTACAAGAGACTCACTTTAAATCCAAAGATATACACAGACTAAAAGTGAAGGGATGGAAAAATATATTTCATGCAACTAACAGAGAGAAAATAGCAGGAGTTGCAATACTTGTATTAGACAAAATAGACTTCAAAATACAGAAAGCAACAAGAGACAAAGAAGGACATTACATAATGATAAAGGGGTCAACCCAACAAGAAGATACAACCATTATAAATATCTATGCTCCCAACACAGGAGCACCTACATATGTGAAACAAATACTAACAGAATTAAAAGGGGAAATAGAATGCAATGCATTCATTCTAGGAGACTTCAACACTTCACTCACTCTGAAGGACAGATCAACCAGACAGAAGATTAAGTAAGGAGACAGAGACACTGAACAACATAATAGAACAGATGCTAACAGACATCTACAGAACTCTACAGCCAAAAGCAACAGAATACACATTCTTCTGAAGTGCACATGGAACATTTTCAAGAATAGATCATATACTAGGTCACAAACAGAGCTTCAGTAAATTCAAAAATATTGAAATTGTACCAACCAGTTTCTCAGATCACAAAGCTATGAAACTAGAAATAAATTATGTGAAGACAATGAAAAATCCCACAAACACATGGAGGATTCACAACATGCTCCTAAATAATCAATGGATCAATGACCAAATAAAAACAGACATCAAGCAATATATGGAGACAAATGACAACAATAATTCAACACCACAAAATCTGTGGGATGCTGCAAAGGCCATGCTAAGAGGAAAGTATATTGCAGTACAGGCGTACCTCAGGAAAGAAGAATAATCCCATATGAGCAGTCTAAATTCACAACTAACGCAACTAGAAAAAGAAGAACAAATGAGGCCCAAAGTCAGTAGAAGGAGGGACATAATAAAAATCAGAGAAGAAATAAATAAAATTGAGAAGAATAAAACAATAGAAAGAATCAACTAAAGCAAGAGGTGGTTCTTTGAGAAAATAAACAAAATAGATAAACCCCCAGCCAGACTTATCAAGAAAAAAAGAGAGTCTGCTCACACAGACAGAATCAGAAATAAGAAAGGAAAAATCACTACTGACACCACAAAATAAAAAGAATTATTAGAGAATACTATGAAAAATTATATGCTAACAAACTAGATAACCTAGAAAAAAAGGACAACTTTCTAGAAAAATACAACCTTCCAAGGCTGATTCAGAAAGAAACAGAAACTCTGAACAGAACAATTACCAGCAATGCAATTTAATTGGTAATAAAAGACCTACCTAAGAAAAAACTCTTGAACCAGATGGCTTCACCGTTGAATTTTATCAAACATTTAGTGAAATCCTAATACCCATCCTCCTTAAAGTGTTCCAAAGAGTAGAAGAGGGAATACGTCCAAACTCATTTTATGAGGCCAGCATCACTCTAATACCAAAACCAGGCAAAAACACCACATAAAAGAAAGAAAATTGCAGACCAATATCCCTGATGAACATAGATGCAAAAATACTCAACAAAATACTAGCAAACTGAATTAAAAAATACATCAAGAGTATCGTCCATCATGATCAAGTAGAATTTATTCCAGGGATGCAGGGATGGTACAACATTCAAAAATCCATCAACATCATCCACCACATCAACAAAAAGAAGAAGAAAAACCACATGATCATCTCCATAGATGCTGAAAAAGCATTTGACAAAATTCAACATCTATTCATGATAAAAACTCTCAACAAAATGGGTATAGAGGGCAAGTACCTCATCATCATAAAGGCCATATATGCCAAACCCACAGGCAACATCATACTTAACAGAGAGAAGTTGAAAGCTTTTCCTTTAAGATCGGGAACAAGACAAGGATGCCCATCTTCCCCACTTCTATTCAACATAGTATTGGAGGTCCTAGCCTGGCAATCAGACAACACAAAGAAATAAAAGGCATCCATATTGACAAGGAAGAATTTAAGCTGTCCCTGTTTGCAGATGACATGATATTGTACATAAAATACCCTAAAGAATCTACTCCAAAACTATTAGATCTATTATCTGAATTCAGCAAAGTTGCAGGATACAAAATTAATACACAGATATCTGTGGCATTCCTATACACTAACAATGAACTTTCAGAGAAGGAAATCAGGAGAACAATTCCATTCACAGTTGCATCAAAAATAATAAAACACCTAGGAATAAACCTAATCAAGGAAGTAAAAGACATATACTCTGAAAACTACAAGACACTCATGATAGAAATTAAAGAAGGCACAGATAACTGGAAATACATCCTGTACTCATGGATAGGAAGAATTAATATTGTCAAAATGGTCATCCTGCCTAAAGCAATATACAGATTCAATGCAATTCCTATCAACATACCAAGAGCAGTCTTCAATGAACTAGAGAAAATCATTCTAAAATTCATATGGAACCACAAAAGACCCTAAATAGCCAAAGCAATCCTGAGAATGAAGAATAAAGCTGGGGGGATTGTGCTCCCCAACTTCAAGCTCTACTTACAAAGCCACAGTAATCAAGACAATTTGGTACTGGCACAAGAACAGACCCATAGACTAGTGGAACAGACTAAAGAGCTCTGATATAAACCCAACCATATATGGTCAATTTATATATGATAAAGGAGCCATGGACATACAATGGGGAAATGACAGCCTCTGTAACAGCTGGTGTTGGCAAAACTGGACAGCTACATTGAGGAGAATGAAACTGGATCACTGTCTAACCCCATACACAAAAGTAAACTTGAAATGGATCACAGAACTGAATGTAAGTCATGAAACCATAAAACTCTTAGAAGACAACATAGGCAAAAAATCTCCTGATTATAAGCATGAGCAACTTCTTCCTGAATGCATCTCCTCAAGCAATGGAAACAAAAGCAAAAATGAACTCATGGGACTACATCAAACTAAAAAGTTTCTGTACTGCAAAGCACACCGTCAACAGAACAAAAGGCATCCTACAGTATGGGAGAATATATTTGTAAATGACATATCTGACAAGGGGTTAACATCCAAAATATATAAAGAACTTACACTCCTCAACACCCAAAAAGCAAAAACCCCAGATGGCCAACAGACACATGAAAAGATGCTTCACATCACTAATCATCAGTGAAATGCAAATTAAAACCAAAATGAGATAGCATCTCACACCAGTAATGATGGCTA